CAATCATCCGCCTTCGGAGCTAGAAAAGATCTACTCGAAGCCAGGGGCCCCAGCACCCCCACTAATTCCAAATGATAACCTTAATAGTGACATGACACAACTCACACAAGGAGTATATCTTACACCGCATGCCCAACGCATTCAGGAGTTCCTGGTGGTGCTGGCCATCTGCAATACGGTTATTGTGGGTGCCGCCCCCCATCGAGATCTGATGAATGCCAGTGGGATTATCGAAGTGCAGCAAATGGGCAACAGTCCGGCGAATCTAAAGCACGGCAAGCAGCGACAGAAGCTGCTGGCCAGCACCACAACTACGACAACGACGTCTATATTGAATGGACCTGCAGCACAGCAGCAGCTCGTATCTATTCCAGCGGATCGTTATATTCGGCTAGCGGAATCACGATCGGTGACTCCCTCGCCGCCGCCTAATCTGCTGTTTGCGCTGCCTGCCCAGAGCCATCAGCCCACACTTTCACCAATTAGCAGTTCAGCGGAATCGTCACCGAATTCCGAATCGGAATCACCATCACCGCCCATGAAGAACAAGGCTTTGTCCAATAGTATTTCGCCCACAGTAAGGGCCAAGGCCGTAATCAACTCCAAGATTACCAGTATAGCAACCTTCCTGAATGCCAAAACTCAGGGAAAGCGATTAAAGTTGCCGTAAGTGTTTTAATCTTAATGAATTTTTCTTAAATAACTCCATAATTTCCCTTTCTTATTTTCAGTTCATCCAAAACGGAAACGATTTATAGAACCGCCGATGGGCGACCGCTTTACGAGGCCGAGAGTCCTGATGAGTTGGCCTTGGTGAATGCTGCCTATAGCTATGATTGCTGCCTGCTAAATCGGAGTCCCAACCAAATCTTGGTCAGCATGCCCATGGCTGGAGCTACGAGGGAATACGAGATACTCAAGGTACTGCCCTTCGACTCCAGTCGCAAGTGCATGTCCATTGTGGTGCGGCAGATAGGCACTCAGGAGATTGTTTTGTACACCAAGGGTGCGGATAGCTCTATCATGCCCGTGCTGGTGCCCTGCTCTCATAACAGTCCCGAAGGTAAGTGGATATATATCCAATTATATATTTTAAATAATTAATTTTATCTTGTTTTTAGGCATCCTACGAGAACAGACCCAACAGCAGCTAGATCGCTATGCTCGTGAGGGTCTGCGCATCTTGGTAATGGCCAAACGTACATTAAATTCCGCCGATTATACGGATTGGTGGGCGAGGCATCAGGAAATCGAGATGTCACTGGAGAATCGAGAGCGTAGATTACGTGATTCATTCGCGAAGCTGGAAAGCAATTTGACTCTGTTGGGGGCAACTGGAATTGAAGATCGCCTGCAGGATGGAGTGCCTGAGACGATAGCATCGCTACTCTCCGCTGGGATCTCAGTTTGGGTTCTGACTGGTGACAAACCCGAAACGGCCATAAATATTGCCTACTCTGCGAAGCTGTTTACCCAGCAAATGGAGCTCATTAGGCAAGTAAAGTTGTAACATTAAATTGGAATTACTTGGCTAATTTGATTTTCTGTCTTGTTTTAGGTTGACAGCAAGATCCCGCGATGCCGCTGAAACAGCCATAAATTTCTATCTGACTGACATGGAGAATGACAAGGCATCATCCTCGCTGGCCTATGGCCAGACGTTAAGAAAGAAACAGCGGGCATTGGTAGTGGACGGAAAGACGCTAACCTTTATTCTTGATCCAAAGTATGTTTTTAACGCGACTTCATTTCATCAAACAATTAATAACCTTCGTTCTACTAGGTCCAAACTGATTCTACCTTTTCTGCGGTTATCTAAGAGGTGCGCTTCGGTGTTGTGTTGCCGCTCCACGCCACTGCAGAAGGCATACCTAGTCAAAGTGGTCAAGGAGGAGCTCAACTTGCGAACTCTAGCCATAGGTGATGGTGCCAACGACGTGTCCATGATTCAAATGGCGGATGTGGGTGTGGGAATCTCTGGCCAGGAGGGCATGCAGGCTGTGATGGCCGCTGATTTTACTCTGCCCCGCTTTCGTTACCTGGAAAGGCTGCTGTTGGCGCATGGCTATTGGTGCTACGATCGATTGTCCCGCATGATTTTGTACTTTTTCTATAAGAATGCGGTACGTTTCTCAATTGTTGTTACATAATTATAAATCTAACAAGTTTCATATCCATCTTCCAGGCCTTTGTCTTTCTGATATTCTGGTATCAGTTGTATTGCGGATTCTCTGGCCAAGTGATGATGGATCAGATGTACTTGATGCTGTATAATTTGATATTTACCTCGCTGCCGCCATTGGCCATTGGAGTGTACGACAAGCGTGTGCCCGAAGATCTTCTGCTAAAAAATCCATATCTCTATAAAAATGTGAGTTGCCAAGCGAGTTGGATTAATCTTGATTACCATAAATATGGGTATTAGACCTGTTCACAGTTTCAATTTATCCATTAAACCGGCTGCTATGATTACTAAATTTAAAATTAATTACTTTCTGTCATTTCAGGGTCGACTGGGTGTAGCTTATAGACCCCACGACTTCTGGCTGATATTATTGGATGCCCTTTATCAAAGCCTTGTCATATTCTTCGTGGCGCTGTGCGCCTATGCGGAGAGCGATGTAGGAATCTGGGAGTTTGGCACGACGATAACAGCGTCCTGCCTGTTCGCCAATCTCGTGCACTGTGCCATTGAAATACGTTCCTGGGTAAGTCATTTTGTGATCATTTTCTAGTTTATGTATAAAATTAATTAAATTTTGTTTCTATTCCTATTTAGACTGTGCTACATGTCTTATCCATAGTCGTTAGCTTAGGTTCCTTCTACCTCTTTTCGATTGTGTACGATTCGTTGTGCTTGAATTGTTTTGGAGTTCGTTCCTCGTACTGGGTGATCTTTGTGTGCTTTGCATCTGCTGTCCACTGGCTGGTTATATTGCTATCCACAGTGGTAGCTGTTCTGCCACGGTTAGTATTGGATACTAAATCAGTTTAAATGATATTTATTAATTTTTATTATATTTTAACAGCCTGCTCCTGACCACAGTGCGCATCTCGCTGTGTCCCGATGACAGCACAAAAGTTATCCTGCAGAGTAAGCGCGAGCGCAGCAGAGGTGAGGGTTTGTTAGTTACTTGGTCGCGCTCCACGTCAGCCTCATCAATTTATAGGTAAAAAGGCACAAAATTCTTGACTTGACAGCAAGCTGCAACTGTTTTCTTTGCACGATTTAAGTTTAAACTTTTAGTGCATGTCATTTTTTTTGATTGTATCAGTTTATTATGATTTTGTGTCTTTTTATTTGTACGTTGCTTTGCCAATTATTATTACTCATGTATCTTAGCTAAATAAATGTATATTTGTTTTGCAGAATCACCGATTATGGGTCTAAGAATCAGATTATAACAACGATTACCTGATCGAGCGCCAAAATGCAATTCCTCGGCTATCTCAGCAGCAACTAGGATAAGGAACACGACTAGCAATCCCGTAAAAATATCTACATATGTGCTTTCACTCTAAATATGTGGCCTTCGACACCAATTATTAATAATATTTTCCTAGTTAGGTTGATCCACATTGTTCCGTAGATTCTGAAAGCAATTAGCTTAAATGTACTTAGTGACCAATCGAAATAATTTGTTTAGCAAATGATTTGTTGAAGACGTGCTTAGATTTCCGAGTTATCTAGCTGAGTTTTAGTTAAAATGTTTGCCTTAACACTAGATGGAATGCAATTGAAGTTGCAAAATTGCACTTATGTCATAGTTTACTAATTTATTTGTATATAAGTAGAGAGCTAGTGCTCTAGAAACCGAAACCCAACCTAACCGACTATTGTTAAACAGAACCGAAAATACAATGATAATTCATGTGGGTACAATGTACGATTATTTAAAACTAGCTTATAAAATATGTATCACCCTAACAGAAATACTTGACAATTCAAACACAACAGAACTCCATTGGGAGTTCTATGAAAAGGCTGTGATTCTACACTCATGAAGGATATACCTAAGCATAAGATATATATATACACATACCTATAGACCTATAGACTTTTACGTTAGTTTCATTGATTCTATAGTATTGACAGAATTGTTTCTCACCTTCTGTTTCTTAGTTTGTTGTGTGAACAAGTGAATTTTTTACTTTTTTATTGAGACCATGCAATGACAAGTGGTAATAATCGATTGTTGTAATCCATTAGTTGTACTAAACCATTTAATCTACTCGTAGTCCCTCTTCAAAAAGAATAAAATAAGACAAACTCTAAATGCAATTTGAAAATAACTTGGTACGTTAACAGGATGAATACCAGAGAGCAAAAATCGTTAGCTGAATATTTACATTGTTGAAAAGCAAGAAATCATTAAATGAAATAAATGTATATTTACCTAAAACATATACGGTATATTATTGTTATGAGCAGGACTGTTTAATACATATCTTCTGAGCCTCAGTCATGATAATTGAGGTATATAGACTCGTATATCCTCTATAGCACAATACAATTAAAAACATAAAGCCGGGTTGTGCTTGAACAGATTACTTTATATACAGAAATACTTTATATGTTGATAAGCAACTCTTCGTGGTCTGCTATAAATACAGATGCTACTTGGTTCGGTCTGATCAGTTTTCTTTTAAAGATGAAACGACAACCCATATTACACGCCTGCCTGGGCTACTTGCTCTTTCTTTGCGTAGCAGCCGAGTCCTGGAAACAGGAAACGAGCATATTCTCCCCTAATAAAAGATTATTGGATCAAACATTATTTGTTATGGACAAAAAAGTGGATCCTTGTGTGAATTTCGTAAATTATGCCAAAGGTAACTATGGAAAAGTATACGATTTGTACCGAAACTTCGACCTTTATTTGGCGGTGCACGAAAAGATGAATCCAAAGTTTCTGGCATTGTTCGAGCAACTTAAATATAGGAACTTTGAAAAAGGAAGCCTGGAGGAAAAGGTTCTCAAATTATATAATACATGCGAAATGGCTATGCAGAATGAGCCAGAACTAAACTATTTGGAACTGGTGCAACCAGATACTAGTCTCAACTGGCCACATCAAACTCCAGCTGGTAGTCAGTGGCCTAAAGAGAAATTTCAATGGCTGGTGACCCTCGCCCGATTACATCGCTATGGCATGGGCCTAATATTCCAAATGGATCTCGAGCTAGATCACCAAGAAACCACACAGTATATGGTAATTATTAGAAGTTCTACATTTGTATTGGACCAGTATTATGTTCGGGATGCAAAGGATTGGTTACTTCGCCTCGGATATAACACAACTCGAACTGCGGCTTTGGTCAGAGATATGAACAACCTGCGTAAGAAACTTATAAAATTGCCTGATTTTGAAAGACATGAAAGAAGGCGAATGACTTTGCAGGAACTAGAAATTGACCATGGAGTTCCCATCAAAGAATACCTAGAGGTCGTTTTTGATCGTAAATTTCCTTCCGATTTCGTAGTGCTTATAGACTATTTGGAAAATCTGATAAAACTCAACCAACTGATGAGTTCCTATGACCAGGAGACTGTGGCTATATATTTGATGAATCTCTTTGTCGATTTTACAAAAGCATCACGTTATGTACACACCTATAGGGATTACGATTTCGTGTGCGTCAATATGGTAAAATACTTGATGAAATCTGCAAGCTACCTCCTGTATGAAGAACATGTTCTGGGTCCTAAAAAAGTCAAGGAATACGATGAGGAGGTCCAGAGAGTTTTTGAAGCGATTAAGAAACAGTTTCAACGAAGGCTAGATACTAATCGTTTAAATTTAACGACATCCCAAATATCTTCGCTACAGAATCTCTTAAGTTCCATTACCGTGAGTGTGGGTAATGTGCATAGGGCTCAGGGTTACCGTCGCTCTTTAACCGAGCTCTATGCTGATCTGAATCTGCACGATGATTTTCCTTCTGTTCATCTAAAGGCTTTGGAGATACATACCAAGCTTTGGATGCAGAAATTGGACAATAAAGAGTTTACCGTACCGTATCCCGGTAATGAGGGAGTCGTTTTGATGGGGACATCCATCGTTGTGCCATTTTCGATACTTGAGGAGCCCTTCTTTACGGCCCGTGGGCACGATGTTTTCAAAGTTTGTGCTTTTGTAGAGATAAAAACATTATAAAATTAACAATTAATCTATTCCAGGTTAGCCTGCTAGGTTACCAAATCGCTGGACAGGTGCTATCAGCTCTGTTTCCATATCCAAAGCTTCCGTTTACCGGTTGCCATCAATACAATGAATTAATTGGAACAATTGATGACCTAGGAAGGTATGTCGACACTTCGCCCTGCATCAGCCCCCGAGAGACGGAAATGTGGAACTGGAGATCGATAATCATAGTTCTTCTGAATCTCGTACAGGATGCCTACTTCTCGCAGGAATCCGGATTTGAACAAACGCAACCCAGCTTTACCAAAATTCCTCTAAAGCAACTCTTCTTCCTTCACTTTGCCCAGAACAAATTAGATAGCAATTTTAACATTAACCCTAATCCAAATCAACCTCCCCGCAATGTTTTAAACGACCTTCCCGTTTTTGTCGAAGCATTTAATTGTTCGATTTCCAAATAAATTTTTTTTCTTTCCCAACCTAACTATCAACTATGGTTAAAGAGAACCAAAAATGCAATGATCAATCAAGCGTACGATTATTACGATTATTAAAAGCTTTTTACTAAAATATACAATAATACACACTCTATGTGAAATTGGAAAATAACTTGAAGAAAACAAAAAATAAATGTTTATTTACCTAAAACATATACGGTGTATTATTCTTATGAGAAGGACTGTTCAATAACTTTCTTTTGAGTCTCAGTCATGATAAGTGAGGCATATATGTAGGCTCGTATATCCTATATAGTAGCATATAATTAAAACATAAGCTCTGTGTGATGTTCAAAGTACACAGATTATAACTTTACGAAGAGATAAAAAAAAGAAATATTTTAATATGTTGATAGGTCTGAAGGCTCAATATCAGCAAGTCTTCTTCGCGAACTGCTATAAATACAAACGCTACTTGGTTTTGTTTCATCAGTTTTCTTTCAAAGATGAAACGAAAATCAATAATATACGCCTGCCTGGGCTACGTTCTCTTTCTTTGTGTAGCAGCCGAGTCCTGGAAGGAGATGACCATATTCTCCCCAAATAAACGTTTATTGGACCAAACATCACATGTTATGGACAGAAATGGAGATCCCTGTATGAATTTCGTAACTTATGCCAAAGGTAATTATGGAAAATCAAACGATTTGTACAGGTACTTCGACCTCCATTTGACGGTACGCGAAAAGATGAATCCGAAGTTCCTAGCATTGTTCGAGCAACTTAAGTATAGAAACTTTGAAAAAGGAAGCCTGGAGGAAAAGGTTCTCAAATTATATAATACTTGCGATATGGCTATGCAAAAGGAACCAGACTTAAACTATTTTGACCTGGTGCAGCCGGATACGAACCTCAACTGGCCACATCAAACTCCAGCTGGTGGTCAGTGGCCTAAAGAGAAATTTCAATGGCTGGTAACCCTCGCCCGATTACATCGCTACGGCATGAACCTCATCTATGAAATGGAACTCGAGCTAGATCACCAAGAAACCACCCAGTATATAATAACGTTTAGAAGTTCTACCGCTGTATTGAGTCACGTTAATATTCCGGATGCAGAGAATTGGTTACTTCGTCATGGATATAACGTGACTCGAACTGCGTCATTGATAAAAGATATGACAAAACTGCATAAGAAAATTAGAAATTCTCCTCGTTTTGGAAGTTATGATAGGAAGGGAATGACTCTGCAAGAACTACGGAATGACCATGGAGTTCCCATCAAAGAATACCTAGAGGTCGTTTTTGGTCGTACATTTCCTTCAAATTTCGTAGTGGTGATAGACGATTTGGCGAATCTGATAAGACTCAACCAACTGATGAGTTCCTATGACCAGGAGACTGTGGCTATCTATCTGATGAATCTCTTTGTCGATTTTACAAAAATATCACGTTATGTACACACATATAGAGACTACGATTTCGTGTGCGTCAATATGGTAAAATACTTAATGAGATCTCCAAGCTACCTTCTGTATGAAGAGCATGTCCTGGGTCCTAAAAAAGTCAAGGAATACGATGTGGAGGTCCAGCGAGTGTTTGAAGCAATTAGAAAACAGTTTCAACGAAGGCTAGATACCAATCGGTTAAATCTAACTTCATCTCAAATAACTTCTCTTCGTAATCTCTTAAGTTCTATTACCGTGAGTGTGGGTAATGTGCCTAAAGCTCAGGGTTACCGTCGCTATTTAACCGATCTCTATGCTGATCTTGATCTGGACGATGATTTTCCTTCTGTTCATCTAAAGGCTATGGAGCTACATACCAAACTTAGACTCCAGAAATTGAAGAACATAGAGCTCACCGAACCATATCCTGGTAGAGAAGGGGAAGTCGTTTTGGTGGGAAATGGAACATCCATTGTAGTTCCCATTTCGATACTTGAGGAGCCTTTCTTTACTGTCCGTGGTCATGATGTTTTTAAGGTTTGTGTGCTTCCAGTCAAAAACCCCTTATTAAATTAACAATTATTTTTTTCTAGGTTAGCCTGCTGGGCTACCAAATCGCTGAACAGATCCTATCGGCTCTGTTTCCATATCCACAAATTCCTATTACCGACTGCAATAAATACCATGAATTAATTGCAACTTTTGATGACCTAGGAAAGTTTGTCGAAACTTCGCGCTGCTTCAGCCCACGAATATCGGATAGGTTTTACTTGAAACAGATAACCATAGTTCTTCTTAATCTGGTACAGGATGCCTACTTCAACCAGGATTCCGGGTTTGAGCAAAGGCAACCCAGCTTTACCGAATTGCCGCTGAAGCAACTCTTCTTTCTTCACTTTGCGCAAAACAAATTAAATGACATATTTAACCAAAACTTTGATCCAAGAAAAAATCCCCGTGAATCAGTTCTCAACTTTCCCGCTTTTATGGAGGCGTTCAATTGCCCGATTTCCAAGTCAAACTTTCGAAGAAATAATATTTTCTGAAGGAAATTTTAAATTGTGTGAAAAATCTTAATACTTAAAAGATTATTGAAACAGTTATCAAATTAATGTTCACCTTAAAATGAGACCGTGGTTATATTTCATAAATTTAGACTTTTGGCTACCTAATAACTAATTATTATCAATCTAATTAATTATTTTAAAGTTGAGAGTAAAATATAGGAATAATAAAAAACAAATGTGATTTTAATGACTAATTTATACTTAAAAGGTTCCTTAAAAAACTATCTCAAAATGAGACGCCAGTGGAATCTATCTATAAGTTCGGCGTGCCAAGTGGGTTTTTGTATCCAATAAATTAACTTTGCTTGGGTTGAGTCTTCGCTAAGTGTAATGCAGTGAAGTAAATTTAAAAAGAAAAAAGAGTTTTATTTAATATTTCAATACATTATAAGGGTTAGCCTTCTAGTTTTTCAAATATTTAATGTGTGCAAACTTATTTATAATCTTATTATTAGGAATTAATCGAAGATACTTTGAATACCGATATATCGTCATTTGGACCATCCCTAAGCTAAGAGCGGGAGAGGGCTCTCTGTCTTTTTCGCACTTTATTCGTCTTTAGGAAACCAAAATCAACGGATGGTAAAAATTGAACGGACGGCTAAGATTGAACTGAACGGATTTTCGCGTCGGAGTAGTTGAGCCACCTTTTTATGTTTTCCTGTGGCAGCTAAAAAGAAGAAGTGTTGAATTGATTTTGCAATAAATCTGCGAAAAGCATCTTTGCGTCGGCCGTGTGTGCGAGTGTGATCAAACATAAATAACGTGCAATTACGGGTCAGTAACCCAAACAAAGAAGTGATAAGAGTGCAAAGGGTCCTTGAAGAATACGGAGTGATAAAGTCTCTTTGGTACACTGGGCTCCAAAATCTCTCACCTGTGCGTGTGTGTTTGTGCGGACATCTGTTCTGTCTCGTCTTCTTATGTTGCTGTCCGTCTATCTCTTTGTCTCCCCATCCTCCACCTCTGTACCTTTTTGCCCTCCTGCGGCCCAGACTAGTCTCGTCTCGCTCTACATAGCCACCAGGTAAAGGTGTGTGTGTGTGTGTGTGGAGCTTGCAGGGTTGCTCTCTCTGTTTTTCTCATTCTCTTTCTGTGGTAATCTATTTGTTGTTCTTTTATAATGCAATAAATAAATTATTCAAATTAGTAAAAAGTAACCTTTCGTTGCTAAAAAATTACTTTTAAGATCACGTAGACATAAAAACAATATAAGTGTTTCCTTCAAAATGATTTGAACTTTGAATAATGTTTATTCAAATAGTTCCGAATAAAATCTGTGGAAATGATTAACTGTTTTTGAGAGCTAGAGCTGTATATCAATTTTTGGTTAAAAAAAACGAATTTAACCAGTGGATAACTCACAAATGAAAGAAGTCTTAGGCTGAACATCCGACAAGGTTCTATAGAAATCTTATCAAACAAACTTAAAAATAAAATCTCAAAAAAGGTATTTAGCGCTTAGATAACATTTGGAGTAAGATTTATCTTACTAACTACTCAGGACCCACAGATAAATGTTCATTTTTACAAAGACGACACTTTCAGTGAAAATAGGAAAATCAATGTAAAAATGACCAAGGTGATGGAATAGTTTCCTTACCATTCTGACACCCTGTATTCCTTTTAAAGGCACTTGTTACAGATTCCCTTCTCCCCCTCCTACCACACGCACATACACACACACTCTCTTCTCTCGCTCCCCTACTGAGTTTTCCTTTGTGGCGTTTTCTTGCGTTTTCTTCGTTGTTGCTTTTCAATTGATTTATTTTTGCATAATCGTTCATTGCCAGACCAAAGCAACTCATAAGCAAGGGAAAAAAAAGTGAAAAACGCACGCTAAGTACAATTGACACATGTGTGTAGGTTTGTTTACACACATATATGCTTACATTTCTACTAATAGCTAAAGGTTGTGTGATTTTTAACAAAAAGGCAAATGATTTGCAGACTCGTGCTAATGGCAGAAATCATATTCCTATTGGTTGCGCCCATAAATGAATCTGTACTTCGAATTATCGAGAATGATTCAGAATGCTCGAAATTGAATGTTGATACCCAAAAAATTAGGTAAAAACTGGTTTGCCTTGATTTACCACAGCTAATCCAAAAAAGAGTATGACAAATGCGGTTTTATATTTAGTTCTATAAAGAAATGTAACTTTCTATTATAAAATATTGGTGAATTCAAAAGAAAATCCTTGAAATGCACACATTTTCTTCTAGGAAAAATGTTTTCATTGCGACTTTTGTAAATATCGGTTATAAACTTTTAGGGCAAACTCACAATTCCAATAATTTCGTAGTTCTTATCTACATTTGTGAAACGAAAATCTATTATATAGATGGATTTGGGAAAAATTTAGATTATATTCCTACTAATTTGGAGCTTTGCATTTGGGTATCCAAATAACGAATAAATTTAAAAAGAATTTATTAGATTGCTTTCATAGAAAATGTATTTCAACAGTTAACTGGATACCCCACAATTTATTGCGCTGCTAAAACATATTTTAAAACAAAACATAAACTAAAATGGCAAACGGAAAGTTAGCTCACTGAAAAGTATTTATGTACATACATACATATATGCATAGCTGTAATCATATTATATATTCTAAAGAATGAGGTATTGACTGTTATTTCTTTATTGAACTTATATGAAAATACTTTATTGTTTGTATTGAATACAAAAGAAGCTTCTGTTTATTAAATTCTATTATCCCAACAAAGGGCATTGCAAATTACTTTTTAAACACTTAACACTGTTAGAACTGATTGTTGGTGTCAGAGTTTAATGACATATTTAAAGTAAAATCTGGGATTTTTGTAAGTTATTAGTTGCTTAAAGCTATCAGTGAAAAATGCATATATAAATGGGTTCTTTCTAAAATTAGATTTTCGTTCTTCACACAAAGTCAAATTTTTTATTTGTCATGAAAGTTTGATTTATTGAATTTTAACTGCACTTTGAAAACAATATCATTTCTTGTTTCTGTTTTATATAATATTTGTACATATGTACACACAGCTGTAGAGATTTTTTTTTTACCGATTTACCCAGCATTTACACCTTGATGTGTAAATCCGATATTCGTACGTCATGTTCCATTTCTTGCGCTTGGCTGGCGCTCTCTTTTCTTGACGCCTGTCCTCCCCATCCTCTCTCTTTCGTTCCCTTTGGCTGTTGGTAGCCCCAATTAGCTGGGGTTTCTTGCCAAATCTTCGCACGTAACAAAAAGAGGCAGGAAAAAACACCAACAACATTGAGGCATAAACATAATCGACCGATCGCGTTGTGCTCTCTTTCTAACGGTGTCTGGTTGGCCTCTCTCTTACGATTAACTAAACACAAACCGGTTAACTCACCATTCGTCCCGCTCGACTTGCTAAGTGAAACTCTCTCTTTCGGGACAGAGAGAGAGAGATAGAGAGGGAGAGATGAATCTGCAAATGTTTTTGTTCAATAAGTAAAAGATCTTATCAAATTATTTTCAGCAAAACGAATATGTGCAATTTTAATACGAAATAATAAAACGAATCTCTTTGATTTGTGTGCGTTTACAAATTAATTCTGCAAATGAATGTGCGAAAGAATCTCAATGAACAGTCAAATTGAATGAAAAGTCGCAGCGAAAATTGAAAGCCAGCAAGGAGGAAACGCAAGGAAAGCAAGTTGAAGGTGAGTCCTCAACAAAAAGTATTCGATTGTTTGTTTTGATTTTGCGATTGTAATTGTTCATTTTTTGTTTTGCAAAAACTTGTCAACGGGTTTTGTCAGCTGCTCAGCAAAACTTCCCACACATGCGAAACCAAGTTGTTATTGCAATAGCCTACATAGAGCCAGATGGTATATTACGTGACTTCTTTTTCCACCGAAAAAAAAAACCCTGAAACGTAGCCGCGGTGACGAAAATTGAAATCGAATCGCCAAGTGTGTCACACAATATCAATCAAAGTCGTTGAAACAAAACTTCATCAGCTGAAACTGCAGTTTGAATTTGATGGAACACGAAGTGCGGCGAGGGGATAACTTTTCCTAGCGAATGAAAATGTGGAAAAATCGATTGCAAAGCCAGCGATTGGTACGACTTAAGGACTTCCTAGTAGTCAAACTTTACCCACGAGGGCATTAAACTTTTAGCCAAAAAATCAGAAACCGTAGATCTCATTCCATTCGATTTCAAATACGTTTTGATTGCTCTTTCTTTGAGAGGTTATTTATCTATTGTATGTTGTTTCATTATTCTGCAGTTATATTGTGAAAATAATCTTAAGAATACGTGTAAATAATATATAGTAACGAATACTGTGCTTGATAATAACCTGTCTTCGGCATTCAAAAAAATTGTTTACTTTCCATAATGAATAACTATATACACATTAAAAAATAATTAAGATATTTAATACAATTTCAAGGATATTTTTCCCGAATTTTGAATTTAAAAAATCATAGCATTGCCAGACATATCTACAAACAGCCGAATAAATGCATAGTTTTCCAAAGTCGTTAAAAATTTTCATTTTATTTCCCAATCTCTGTCTATATGGCTTTATACGTTTATAGCCACTGTTCGATTCGCCATGCAGTTGGTTTTATGTCTAAATTTTATTTAACTTCAACAGTGAAATGTTTTTAGCCTTTGGCTCTGCTTTTGCCTTGCCTTTTGTATGCAATCGCCGAATGAGTTTTCACATATTGTCTAATTACGGTTTTAGGCGAGCATTGAATATAATTCCATTTCATTTCATTTAAAAGTCATAGGCGGAAATGTTTTCATAATCTGAGAGTCGGAGTCGAGTCAATGTTACATCATTGAGGTACTTAAAAATTGATTAATTTTGTGTGGAACGACGCAGCTGAAGGGAACGGGATGGTTCTGCAATCAAATGTAACGAAAATATTAATTAACTTTTCCACAACGTAAGCAGGAAACTTAATAAAGAAGAAGTTTAAGTATGCTTATAGCCACAACTAGCCTCAGCAATGTTTATTTTGGGCAGACTTACAAAGTGGAAATTTACCACCAATATGCTCACATCATTTGTTTACAAGCAGCACTTAAAATTTTCATCTTAAAGTAGCAATTACAAAGTCGTAAAAAACGAACACACAAAGCACTCGACAAATAGGTTGGCAAAATGTTTACTTACCCGGGGCTAGTTGGTTTTCAGGAACAAATGTGTCCAGATGTTTGGAAGTGCTATATAATATGTATTTACCATATAATAGTTTTTCTTTCGAACTGCTCTATTTTAAAGTAAGAGACGCAGTAACTATTTCCAGTTTTAGGTTTATTGGAGACAAAATAAAGGCAAGAAATTTCTCAAATTCGTCATTGACTTTTGTTTTCATTTCTCATTCTCAGGCGGAGAAAGCTCGATTTAAAAACAAAGCCAACAAAAAGCGGCGATCAGAAATTATACAAACAAGACAATAACAACAATGATAACCATTTTTGTAAATTCACCAAAAAAAAAGTCACTAAGAGACAACAACAGAAGGTGTTTTTTGTTTAGTTTTTTTCTTCCTCGACTGCACACAAATTGCGTTGAACAGAGATTTAGGGCCACCTATTCATTCATTCAGTCAGTCAGTTACTCATTCATTCACTCGTTCACCCATTCACCTATTTATTTAATTTTTCGTGTGGATTTTTCAACTTTTCCTGTTGTAATTTTTTTTGATTGGTCTGACTGTGTGTCGCATGTTGGCGTTTTTAGGTCACTTCAAATCTGTTTTTTTGCCCTGCCTGCACACGCAAATTAAAGTTTAGCCCAAATATTAATATGCCTTTCCACTTTTCCTGATTTTTTGTGTGTGCTTCTAAACAATGGTATTTAAAGTTTGAATTTTTATTCATGCATTTTTGGTGCTTCTGCCTATGCGAGTTGAATTTTAAGTTTCTGTTTACTTTCTTTTTTGTATTTATAAATTCGAAAACCGAAATTTTCGATAGCTTCTTAGCTTAAATTAATGAACTGCTGTTGGGAGCAGCTAAACATATTCAGAGATCAAAAGTTATGCTGTTCCCATTTCTTTGTTGGTCTCTTCTTAAGAATTCTTTCTTCTCTTCAGATTTTCTTGGGTCAGATGTTCGTTCTTGCCTCTAGCTAAATCCGCCCTCTAGATTAAGTCCCGTCGACAAGAAGTTAAACAAACAGTCGGCAAGGCAAACAAACAAACGAATGCAAAGCTCTTTTCGGGGCAAGTGATGATGCTATGAGGAGGCAGGCAGGCCCTGGCAAGCATAACATATAATCCGATCTATCCAATCTGTAAACTAGTCCGATCTGTGGAGGGGTTGGGGGTGTATATACATACATACATACATACATATGTGCCCTGTTGATTTGTCTTCATTATCAGCTCGTTGACTGTTTGCTTCTGATTCTCGGGTAAACATAGAGCAGACGACGTGGCCGTGATTGTTTGTAGTTTTTGCCTCTTTTTTTTTTTTGTGGTAAAACTTATTTTTAATCTTCGAGCACACAACGCGCGTTGCCAAGTCGCTCCTCCCACGGCGTTTTCTGTCCACCTCCTTCTCGGTTACACCCCCGGAAACCACCATGGCGTATGAGTTATTTTCGTTTGTTCAATGGTTTCAAGTCGATCGGACACTTTGTACATTTTATGAATGCCTTTGACGGCCCCACAACCGTCTCCTTTCCTGAGATACACCAACACACTTTTACACACTTTTCGATATTTTTACAGTAATGCATAGTGGTTGGCGGATTTCGGAATAGTTACTTGACAGAAAATCAATAAAATAATTACATTTGTGGCAAGTGTTAATGGGATTAAAGTGAACATTATACTTTATTAAATTATTATAAACATACCATTTAAGTATAAACCAAAATCACTGAGGACATTATTTCTGGATTTTACCCATCGTTTAGTCATAAAATTTATGGCCAGCTTTTATTCCGGCACTGCAGCCAGTTTATCTCTGATATATTGACGCATGGCTTCTGTTGCGGCTTCCATTGTCTCTATTTTAATTATTCCGCATCTTTATAATTCCCAAACATGCGTCAAATGCCCCCGAGATGCAAACACAACGCAGATGTATATACGAGTATATGGCTATAAAGGAATATGGCCAAGCTTTGGGAACTGGTACGTGAAATGATTTCAGCCAAATGTTGGTTTAATAACTGTTTTTTGTTTGCTTCTGGCTTCCCAGAGCCATATATTCATTTCCTGTCCCTATACACACTCTCCCCCCTTTCCCCATTTCACCCATCGCAGTTCCCGTTTCCCAGGCAAGTGTCTTTTGTTTTATCAGCTGCAGAAAGTTTAGTTGGATAAACAAGTGAACCTTTTTGTGTTTTATTGCAAATTTGAATTATTATCCAAGAGCCTGTGACGTCAAAATGCACTGAAAGGCAAGCAAATGAGGTAAGCTGGTTTTTCGTATTTCAAGGCAACTTCTTTAACTCTCTGATTGATCAACAAAATTCTCCATAAGTTTAGAGCCCAAGGTTAAGGCATTTTGGCTAGTGTAATGTCAACAAACTTGGTCTTGTATAACATTCTTATCATCGGGCTTAGTTGCTTCTTAGAAGTTATCTGTGTCACACTGAGTTGGAGTTGGTCTTCTTGGTACGGCCTTCAATGCCCCGTCGAACGGGTACCAATGACCAAAGCGATATAGTCAGCGATGCAGATCTATATGTACTCAAAGATTCAGATACCGGTTTGCAGAAAAACACACCCACTTGAAATGCTGTCATTTAGTGCTGAAATGTCCAAGACAAGATGTACACTGAGAGGAAATCTTAGGTTTTATGATTGTGTTTTCTAGAATTTCAAAAATCATTTCCTTTTGGTTTTATAAATAAGAAAATAAGTCTAAAAACGTAAGGAACTTTACAAAAAATATTCAAAATTTATATTCCATTTCATCTGACAGTAATTTTTTTGGCTCACTGCAATAAATGGCCGGAACGTAATTATAAAAATGAAACGGTCTTTGTTGGAGCTGGAGTCTGGGTCTTGACCGGATCGTGAATCGATCAATTACTGTGAGATCGGACCAAACTGTACTCTGGCTAATAATCGAGGTCAGCAGTCTCCGTGTGTGTGTGTGTTTGTGTTTGTGGGGACAAAAAGCTGCAAGATCAGCGAACTTTCCAGGGTGGGAGGTGAGAGATGATTCAGATGGAGGCCAACTTATGAGGCACTCGCGATGGGATGCGATCTTGGGCAATAAATTAATGCACAATTTCCCGCCACTCTTGGCACATCTCGTTCGGTGACATGTGACTTTTGGCGACTTGTGCAATTAAGAGCTGCACTAACAATAGCAAAAGTATCGCAGTCGCTGACCCCCTTACCCCTGCCTCAGTTACAGAAACTGCAGGCCCGTTCCATTGAAACTCACTCGCCGTGCCACACGAAGAAAAAAAAAAACTCAACTGAACTGAGCTGACTAAGAGGATTATTTGCCACTCCGTTACTGTTGAATCTCTGTGCGCTGGCCTGTAATCCGATCCACTTCATCTAACTCACACACACACACCCCGATTTGGGTGTTTTGTTGTGCTTGGCGAGGCATCTGGGTGGGTGGCTTGAATACTTCGCGGAAGCCCCTTTCATAAGGGCCAAAACAAGCCAAACACCAGCAAACCTCCCATGCCGAAGTAATTTAAAACAAAAAGCTTAAAAAACGA